TTCATGAAGCTTTTGCTGAGAGATCCCAAGCACTCTGGTCTCTTTCTTTCCTGGATTCCTGCAGTGGTCACTGTCTGTGCTTTACATTGGGCGTTGACCATATGCTATCTTGATTGTCAACATTCTTCTGTTTTTATATCTTTTGCTTCAACTAGATTATGAGCTCCTGGAGGTAAAAACCATTATGTTGTCCTTGTATCCCCAAATGGTCTAATACAATGCTAAACAAATAACAAGTTCTTAGGAAGTGTTTTTGGAAGAATTCCTTAATGTGTGGGAGCCGAGGTAATATTCAATTATGTAACAAACTAGTACATGAGCATCAGACAATGAAAAAGGATGTGGCCAGGCCATGGAGTTGGAACAGCGTCTTAGAGGTTCTTACTATGCCAAACATAACTCTTTAGTTGCAGGGGAAGAGCTGGGAGTGGCTGAGGATGAGGGAATTTGAAAGATCTTGGGAGAAAGCTTTGTAGGCTGTGATTGTTAACCAACAAATAGGTAAGCATTTCGATATTTTTTACAATCAGTACAACTGTGATAGGTACATATCAATCCAGTGTGGGAACCACCAAAATCCTTTTAATCTTGAGCTCATTATGAGGAAATCATGGCTTATTAGGCTAGTAGAACATGACAAAGTTGGAGGGGTGTCTTTAAATTCTATGCACATATTAAGTATTTCTTTTCTTTTAGTCGTGCAACAATTATTCGTTGAATACTTGTTATGTGCTAGATACTGGGTGGTAGACGGATAGCAGGATGAAGAAGAAAGACTGATTCTTGCCTTTAGGAAGCTTACGTAGTAGGACAAAGCCAAGCTTAAATAAATAACTTTGTAGTTTCAATTGTTAAAAACATTATGAAGAAAAATAAAGGAATCTGTGAGGTGGATCATTAATAAAATGGTTCTCTGATCTTAAGCATCTACTTACCCTTTCTGTAGCATATCCATAAATTGCACATCCGATAATAATGTTCCTCATAAAAAGTATTGAAGGGATAATTAATAAAATTTTTAGCAAACAAAATTTGCTATACGAATGCCAAGTGATTCTTAAATCTTAGAATGTTTTGTATTAGAGAGCTATATATTTAGTTTTTTAATATATTGTTTTCATAAAGTTTAATTCCAAAGAAAGAAAAGTCGGTCTGTCATTTAATTAAAATGTGAATTTGAATTGGTAAACCTGAGGGATATATGGAAATAAAAAGAGTTTATAAAAAATGATACTTGCATGCTATCTCAGTTGGAAGATTTATTTCCAAATTTCCAGAGTTATTCAGCATTTGTCGTAATACGGACTTAATTCTGTTTTTCATTGTTGCTCCATTTTTATTTCTAGTGAATCGAAATTTCATGACAATATCTGCTATCACACCACCATCACCTTGCCTGTAAATCATAAAGATATTTTAAAAAATGGATAATTATGATAATTTTCTACTGTTCTATTTATATATACTTCTTCATTAAGGGTTTTTTTTAAAGAATTCACTTGAGGAATTTAACTATATAACAGAGTTTTCACATGTAATGTTATATCATAATACCATTCCACAAATTTGATTTCAATTTACAGTACACTGTACCCATTATAGCACAGTTGGCTTTGAAGTTAGAATACTGGAGCTTTACTGTGCGACCTTGGGTAAGTTATTTAAGTTTTTTTTTTT